GGGCCTAGAAACGTCAGCCTTCCTGCTCCTCTGATGCTGCTTGGCCTGCTGTGTTCATCCAGCTCTACACCTTGTTATCTCAGATTCTCCAGCATCTGCAGTTCCTACTATCCCTTGAACAAGGGATAACTTATGCGTGAAAATAAAATTTTCTCATCAATAACAGACCCCATTGCTTTACGAAATTTACAATCATGATCAGACAGCATTTATGGCCTTACATAATAAAATGCATGAAATTCTTCTAAACATTCGAGATATTTTCATGTTTTCACAGTTGAAAACAAGCATTTAAAAAATTCCATGTATTTACAGTAAGAATACAACACTACAGTAAGAAATAAATAGCTTCACTTCCATCAGGCAAAATTGCAGATAATGGGGGAGCTTACATCTTTTTTGACTAGGTGTCAATGTGGTGGAGCATGTCACCTGCCTGTTGTTCCATCTTTGATTTCAAAAACTTTATAATTTCAAAATTTGAGCATTAAACATATATCCCGTGATGTCATATTAATTTGCAGTGAAGCTACTTGAAGTTATAGTAATAGGCAACTGTCTGACAAACATACTGAATTAAGAGACCAAGTTATACGGCAGAAGCAAATAAACTCCATGATGGCTAATTTATAATATTAGGAAATAGCAGGTGGGAGTGTCCACTTCCTCCTCTCTTTGATCTTCTGGAGAAGGTTCAGTCTACCACCTTGGCTTTCTACCAGAATGGAGTAAGAATGCATTTGGAGCCAAGCCAGATTGTTATGAGATGACCTTTGTTTTTTGTCCGTACCTCAGGACACTTGATATTTCTTTGGAACCTCACTTCCATGTTCTACCCCAATTTTCACGTCAATATGCACCCAAAACTACTTGGTATGTGTGAAAGTAGCTGTATATCTGAAGCCTTAACAACACATGGGACAATAATTGCATATGTTTTATGCTCACTTCACTGGAGATGATAGTATTGACATTAGAGATGATAATAACCTTTGATTGAATATTTTGTTTTCCATGGAGATGATGTCATTATACTCATATGACAAAAACTATTTTTCCTTCAAAGGTTGAGTCTTATATTTTCCAAACCCACATCCTGCTGCAAATCCCAATCACAGTGCCCCAACATTCACAAGGACCAATCTGCAAAGCGCCCCATTTCACTAAATTTACCTAATTCAATACAGATTAATTGCCAACATGTTACAGAAAGAGCAGTACTTCTGAAGAGTAATGGGATTCGATTTATATCGTACTCTCATTGCAGTTCACAACTCCTTCCTAACTTTATTATTAAGGAGTTATTAGGTTGGCCTACTCTCAGGATATAAATCAAAGCCCATGGATCTTCATAATGTATCCTCTGTGTATGACTTATTCATAAGGAAAACTTACCCAGTCAACTAACATGAAGCATACAAACAAACCAAAGGCTTGTTCAGCTCTCATCTTTCTAGTTCTGCAGCAAGGCTTTGAGGAAATGTCACTTCTCTCTCCCTTATACCAAATTTCAAACCTACAAAATCGTGATCAGTCAGTGTTAGTGGGAAACCTGTTTACCCAAATTGTGGAGACCCTGTTGATCATTTACCACCCAGGCCTTTCTGAAATTCTTGGGTTTTTTTTTTCTGATGCTTTGTTGACACACCAAAGGTCAATAGATGCTAAAGCCTGTGAAACCTTTAAGCAAATACAACATGGAATTTATGTGGCGACTCCACTATGTTTTTAATACAGATGGCTCAACAACAAGTATAGGTAATAGCACTGTGGTATTGTTGCTGAATGTATAAACCAGAGACCAATGTTATGTTCTGGAAAATTAGGCTTGAAATCCATCATGTGCAATTTGAATTGACAATAATTTGTAATTAAAAGTTCCTTCACTGTCGTTATGACAATATTCTGCAGTTATCTCCCTAAGGGCATTGTGGGTCAACCCACAGTACCATGGAGTGCAGCGGTTCAAAAGACAGCTCACCACCACTTTCTCAAGGGCAACTGGGGATGGAAAATATATGCTGGCCAGCCAGCAACACCCACATTCTATGAGTTAATTAAAACAAAAAGTACAAGATGCAGACTGATTTTAGCCTATTAGTTAGTGCCATCATGACAAAGCTCTTGAATCTGACAGTGTATCATAATCTCCGTTCATATTTCAACCCATAACTGTACGGCCTTACAGGAGAACATTAGAGACACAAGTGTGCATGCTATAGGAGAGGATTTTATTATTATTATCAACTCATGGGACTTGGACACTCCTGAATTGTGCCTTGTAGATTATGGACAAGCTTTGGGGAATCAGGAGGTGAATTACTTGATGCAGTACACCTAGCCTCTCACCTACCCTTGTAGCCATTATGTTTATGTGGCAAGTCCAATTGAGTTTCTGATTAATGGTAACGCTGAGGATGTTGATAGTGGGGGATTCAGTGATGGTGACACCATTGAATGTCATAGGCTGGCACTTGTGTGGCGTGAATGTTACTTGCCACTTGTAATCCCAAGCCTGGATATTGTCCTGATCTTGCTACCTTTGAACATGGACTGCTTCAGTATCTGAGGAGTCGCAAATAGTGCTGAACGTTACACAATCATCAGCAACTATCCCCACTTCTGACCTCATGATGGAGGCATGGTATGTGCCATGCTTACCACCATAAGGTTAACCTTCAGCTTTGAGCCATGACTTGGACCTTTGTGTGCTTCTGCAGAACACTGTATCTTGGCAGAGGATGGCAGACCATGAAACCTCTCACAGCACTCATTCCAAGATCTTTTGTGGTCCACCTCTTGTCTTTAATGGTGGCAATCTCCTGCTATGCCTGGTTGGTCACTGTGCGCATGTTCTGCTGACCACTCAAACATGCTATCCTTAGCCAGGGTCTGGAAGTGTCACTCTTACTGCTACATTGACACTGGCCACTTTGTGATATTTGGGCATGACAATGAAAAAAACACACTGGTATATAAAACTTTTAGTTTTGATTGCTGCCATATATAATTTCTGCCTGCTTTCATACAGGACCAATATTCTCTAGTTCAGTAACACTTATTATTGGGTATTGGAGGGCTATATGAATGCAGGGTGCTCTGATGTCTACTCCGGTCACCCCAACATGGCAAGCTGTACTCCCCAAACATAAATTACCCTGGTGACTTACTCCCTCTAACTCTTACACTGGTCTGCAATGATCAAATGCAGATCTAAGACTTCTAGTCAAGGGTCATTTGTGTGGCTGCACCCTGAAAGATGGGTAGAAAGAGATTAGGTTGAAGAGACACAGGTCCTGCCTGGGTTGTTTGACAATTGTCTCCTGAGGTATTATACTGATCTGTTTAACACAGAACATTACGAATAACTGATGCTGATGTCTCTGTAACTATGGCTTGTGAAGTCTTTCCAACCTTAGCTTTCCAAACTGCACTCCTTCATTAAAGGGAAATTAGACTCCAGTAATCTCTAAACTTTCTAATGGGAGACCTATGATAAACCAGTTCTTCCAGTGTAGGCAACTATTTGGGCAATTCTGACGTTAATATGAACCTAACTCCTCTCATAGACATCTCCTCCAAAGATCAGCAATTCTTCCAGGTTCTCCCTGGAAGAACCCATCTTGGTTTGACAAGCACCTGCAACTTTTCTGTACAGGTTTATTGTTACCTCATAATCCTTCACTAGTGCAATTATTATACCAGTCGGCACTTTTTATGCATTTTCTTCTTGTAGAGAGAGTAATAGTTGAACACCCATTCGCACAAGAAATATCACAACCATTTCTTTTTCTTGGATTATGAACATTCACAGAGCGTTGCCTTCAGGGCCAAGTCATTGGAAGTCAGTGACTAAACACAGCAGTATAAAATCAGAAGGATAAAATGTATGAATGAGAAAAGCCCATTTCATTAAATATATTCTTTCTAGCATACATGGTACAATTTGCACATTCAAACACAACAAATATGATGAACAAGGTCAGTAACCATAGTAAATATTCAGGAAGATAAAATGCCTATAAGATAATCTGATCCAAAGATTAATTATTATAGCATTATGTTTTGAACCATGGACATTTATATTTTATGAATAGAATTTCCATGATCACAAAAGCACAGGAATTACTGTGTCCTGTTGATTTTGAAACATTTGCCTGTGTTAACTTATCATTGTAGCCTTCAAATTCTATTGCAAAGTAGATACAGCATCAACTTTTTCTGAGTTAATGAGCACAGTGTTTATTGCTTATTTTTCAGAGTTTATTTCACAAATATACTACTGTTTGTGTAAGAAATCGAAATGTTTGGTCTAGACATGCTAATCTGCAAAGATGTCCTTTCAATCTTAAGTGATACCATGAGCTAAATAACTGACTGAACTACATTGTCCATGGCAGTCATTAAGTTACAGACCTTGAGCCTTGCTCCTTCCAATAAAAAACAAATCAGATTTTTTTAGTTTCTCATGTGTTGAGGCAAATCCACTGATGCCACTTTCCCAAAGGGAAATGTTTGAAGGAAGCTATGAAGAAGGAATTCTATAGTAAGTGCCTTGCCTCCTGACTCCCCAGATCTTGACCACCATCTACAAGGCACAAGTCAGGAATGTAATGGAATACTCCCCACTTGCCTGGATGGTTGTAGCTCCAACAACACTCAAGAAGGTTGATATCATCCAAGACAATGCAGCTTGCTTAATTGGAACCACATCCAACAACATTCACTCCCTCCTCCACTGACACTCAGTAGCAGCAGTGTGTATTATCCATAAGGCGCACTGCAATAATTCACTAAGGCTACCTATTCCATGACCACTTCCATCTAGGAAGTCACGTGCAGATAAATATGAACACCACCACTGCAAGTTTCCCTCCAAGCCTCTCATCTTCCTGACTTGGAAATGTATCATTGTCATTGGATGAAAATCCTGGAATTCCCTCTGTAAAGATACTGTGGGTCAACTTATAACACATGGACTGCAGCTGTTCAAGAAGGCAGCTTTTGCCCCCACCTCCTCAAGGGCAACTAGAGACAGGCATAGTCAGTGATACACACATCCCATGGATAAACAATATCCCTCCTCAAGAAAAGGGACCAAACTCCTTCTTTAATTCATTCACAGGTTATGGATGTCATTGGCAGGACCAACATTTATCGCCCATCCCTAAGAGTCAAACACATTGCTGTGAAGTTGCACATCGGTCAAACCAGATAAGGATGGCGGATTTCCTTCCTGAAAGGACATTAATGAACCAGATGGGTTTCTCCAACAACCAGCAATGGTTTTGTGGTCATCAGTAGACTCTTAATTCCAGACTTTTATTGTAATCAGATTCCACTATCTGCCATGACATGATGTGAGCCCAAATCCCAGAATATTACCAAGGTCATGAAATTGATAGTTTATTGATAATGCAACTAGGACATCACTTCCCCTGCACCTTACCTCCTACACAGTACTCCTGATATGGTCTCATCAATGCCTCTTTTTATTTGCAATTTGATTAATTGCAAGCACAATTCCTTATTTTTACACTCCATTCCCGTAGCAATAAACACCAAAATTCCATTACTTTCCTTATCATCTGCTGGAACTGCGTACTAACTTTCTACAGCTCGAGTACAAGCACACCCAAATCCCTCTGTACTGAAGCATTTTGAAGTTTCTTTTCATTTAGGTAATAAGTTACCCCTTTTTAGTTTAGTGACCAAAATGGAAAATCCTCTCACTTATTTACATTAAACTCCCCCTAGAATGGACCAAATTTTGGCCCATTCACCTAACCTATCTATATCAATTTGTAAATTCTTATTCAGTACAACTTACTTTCCCACCTATTTTTGTGTCATCTGCAAAATTGGCTCTGATATGTTCTAACCTGCATCCAAATCATTAATATAGATTGTAAATAGTTGGGCCCCAAGGATCAAACCCTCTGGCACCCCACTAGTTCAGTTTGCCAACCAGAAATAAACCCATTTATCCTGACTTTCTGCTTTCTGTTGGCTAGTTAATCCTCTATCCAAGCTAACATATTACCGTGAACCCCATGTGATCATACCTTGTGTATTAACTTTTTGTGTGGCACCTTTTTAAATGCCTTCTGGAAGTCTAGATATGCTATCTACAGCCCGCCCATTGTCCACTTTGTTTATTACATAGAATCCCTTCAGTGTGGAAGCAGGCCATTCAGCCCATTGAATCCACACCAACCCTCCAAAGAATATCCCATCCAGCCCCATCCTCACACACTATTTCTGTAGTCCTCCATTTCCCACTGCTGATCCATCTACCCTGCACATCCTTTGACACTATGGCCAATTTAGCATGGCCAATCCACCTAAACTTCCCATCTTTAGACTGTGAGAGGAAACCAGAGCACCCAAAGGAAACCCACGCAGACACAGTGAGAATGTACAAACTCCACACAGACCAGTCACCCGAG